CAGATGCTATATCTTTTGATAGCCGAGCACCATCAGTTTTCTTCACATTTGCTTATGCACCCACTTTTCTTCTCTTATTTCCTTTTTGTGTTTTTCTCTATTATTGTTGGTTTGTCTGCCTAGATAAGATAGGCATGAGAAGCAGGCACAAGGAAAAGGAAAAAGGACTGACAGTTCCAGAGGGACTTGGAGGGATGGAGAGGCGGAGAAAGGGAGCGGTGAGCAAACAACGCCATAGACAGGGGACCAACTAGGGAATTAAAAGCAACAATGAGGAGGATGTAAAGATCCCGGTGGTGTCGGAGCAACAGCAACCCTGAGAGGAATTGCTAAGAGGCAGAAGAGAGAACATGATGGGGGGACAGGAGGAAGCTAAAAGGAAACAGAGAAAGATCTATGGATAGAGGTATAAACATGGGCGTGCACTTATGCAAATATATTAATTCGTGAAAATAGAAGTTTTGGCCTATGTACACGTTTATATGGCACTTTGTTCTAACAACCTGCCATTCTATCGTGCTCACCCTCCCAAAAAGATCGCTGAAGACAAAATAGGTGCACAAGCAAATGTGGTGAAGAAAGCTGATGGTGCCCGGCTATCAAACGATATAGCCTCTAGGGTCTTAAAGGCTTAAAGTTAACAAACACCATCTAGCAGAGAAGCAATACGCCCACATTGAAGAAGCACACCAGAGGCTGCGATCATGAGGTGTTGAAGGGATCGGGCACCAGGCATCCAAAGACCCAAAACAAACAAACAAAACATATTGTTGAGAATGGGGGTTGGAACAGAGACCCAAAATCCATCTGTAGAAAATGGGACAGCCCCTCACAGAAGGGTCACAAGAAAGGGATGAGTCAGTCAAGGTACAGTATAGCACCAATAAACACAATATTCCTCATCCCCCATTATCATGACTGTAGTCCTGCCTTTCACTGTGGACTTTACCGGAGCATGTACACTGGTACAGATAAGAGCTCAGGACACACAGAATTCAGGGCAGATAACCCCTCAGGAACAGGAATGGGTGTAGAGATACCAGAACGGTAGGGAGAAGAGGGGAGGAAGGGGGAACCAATCGTAATGATCAACACACACACACACACACACACACACACACACACCAGAGGGACGATCAACAGAGATCAACAGAAATCGTAGGGAGGGGAGACAGCAGCCAGTGTAAGACATGAAAACAATAATAATTTATAATTTATCAAGGGGTCATGAGGGTGAGTGGGGGAGGAAGGGAAAAAAGAGGAGCTGATACCAAGGGCTCAAATAGAAAATAAATGTTTAGAAAATAATGATGGCAATCTATCAATAAATATGCTGGATACAATTGATGTAAGCATT